CCATCTCCTGATACGCTCTCGCCTGTGTCCGACCTTTCAGACATGTCAACATCTTCTGGATCCGACATTGTAGCATGGCATAGACAATTCATGTTTGCAGTTTGAAGAACACCTGCTTGCTTCTAAAGATTTCCTTTTGCTAACCAATGAGTGTTTGCGTTATGACTCATCAAATTACACTAGTTTTAACTAGATGTGGATGGTGCCAATGATCTGCATTGGATGGTGCACATGACGTGAAATAGATATTTATAAACATTAAACCAAAACCAAGAATAACGAGTAATATTCTTTTTTAAATATAAGGAATACAAAGTACAGATACTTGTGTGAAAATGTAATGAGTAGCAGTCAGAAGTAGGAAGAAAAATATGTAATGGAGTAAAATATAGATACCTAAAAAGTGTACTTAAGTACAGTAACAAAGTATTTGTACTTTGTTACTTGACACATTAGTTTGGTGGAGAGTGGTGGCCTACTGGTTAGGGCATAGAGCTTGGAATCCTGAGGTTCTGAGTTTGAGCCCCACTCCCGCAGTTAGGCATTCTGGGTTTCTGAACAAGACCATTAACCCCCGATTGCTCCCTAGGCAACCCATGATGGCAGCCCCCTGCTCCCCAAGGGGATGGGTTAAATGCATAGGTAAATTTCTCCAATGTGAGATCAATAAAGTTCAATTTCTTTCTTTCAATTTTTAATTTTTTTTTGTCATCACTGTAAAATCTGGTTTTTTTTGTGTTAAAACGTGTGTGCTGGTGTTGGGCTTTAGGTAAGTCCTACTAGAAAATTTGGTGTAAAAGTGCTTTGCTTTTTTAATTTTCTTTTTTTTGTTCTTTATTCAAATCAGAATGTTGCAAAACAGCCCACTCTAGACAGGGTGCCATTTTTGTTCTTTCCCTGTATTGACATAATTTGTGGAAGGGTCCTAGCATTCGTCTGCATTGTTTTTAACATCAAGCTGATCTTAACTTCACCAAAAGGGGTGATTCCAACGATCAGAGACTCAGCTGCAGACATTCCTTTGCATAGCTTTGTGAGACATAAAGGGGGGGTATAAAAAGAATGTGTGGGTTTAGAACATGCTCTAATATTTTTTTTTGTTAAAAAATTATTATACATGAAGTTGAAGACAATTCCAGAAGTATTCTAAGTAAAATGCAATGTCTTAACTCCTATAAGTTATGTTTAAGAATATTTTGTAACACTTGATTTTTAGGGGTATAATCGTAAAGGAGTCAAAATACGAGTAACCCATTTTTTTTGTAGTTTTCAAAAAAAAAAAAATTCGATTTTATTATCCTTCAATTAATTACTCCTGCTCTACTTAATGTTGGTTTATACCTTGAAACTACATTGTGATCTTGGCATGGCAAAATGTGGATGGGTTCTAAAGGTGTTAATACTTTTGTAAGGGGTTGTGGTCCTGACTAAATTATAAAAGGGTTGATTTAATATGTTTTGGCTTTGGATTTAAGGAAAAAATTATAATTCTTACTAGGGCTGGGTAAAAAAATCGATTTAATCGATTTTGAATCGATTCCTTTACATTTTTGCAAAATCAATGTCTAGGGAATAAGATCGATTAGTACATGACGTTCACAATCAAATGAGCAGGAAAGATGCTCTCAAGATTACTTCAAGCCAGACAGATGCAAATATAGCAAATAGGTTGACTGAAGACATTAACAAATGGGGGCTGACCAGATAATGAAGATAATGCAGCTCATGCATGTGTGAGTGAGTGAGGCTTCACTTTTTCACTTTTCACCAACAAGTTTGCACTTATGAGACTGTTTTGTTCACATCTCAAGTTTAAACTATCTGATTTACAAGTTTGCACTTTGTGTTTAATATGACAGGAAAAAATAAAATACATGAGTATTTTGAAACACAGTTGAACCACTTCCATTATTGCAAAAACAGATCGAATCGAAATGAATTGATTTAGAACTTTATTAATCAAAATCAAATCGAGTCAGGACTTTGGCAAAAAATACCCAGCCCTAATTCTAACACATGAATGTTTTCCAGCTTAGGAAGTCCCAAAGTCTTTGTTGCTTGGCATTGTTTACAGCACCGAGTACTGATTTTAGCTGGCAGCCAGCCGACTGTTGACAGTCTTAGCGAAAGACTACTAAAGTCAGGTGAAAAAAGCTTTTATTACTCTGTCATGCAGAGACCCACATGGTGGTATCTACTTCTCCAGATAATCTCAAGAGAACATCCTGACCTCAGGTTTAATGGGAGAGACTGAAATTATGTGGGTTCAGGGTGTTTCGGGTTTGAGTTAGCAGGCATTGATGCAGGTTGGAAGATGGATTGATCAAATAAAAGGCAGACAATACCACTTTAAAATCAAATTTCTGGTTGTTTATGTAATAATGTCCATAATAAGGTTCTTTGACTTGATCCAGTTCAGTGCTGCCTGGCCAACAAAGGGAGGCAGCAGAGAGCAGATACTCAAAACTGTCTGGACATAAAACAGACCCCACCACTTCTTAGAGGGACCTCCACTGGTATTTGCACGTCTGGATAAAGTTAAACCACACAAGAGCTTTTTATTTGTAGTCCTTGGAAACCTGGCTTTCATGATATCTTGATCTGGTGTTTGCAAGCATATCAGGTTTAATCATCTTCCATACTGTACATGCCATTTGTATATACATATTGCAGTAGAGGAATGACAACATATATGCAGGATTAATGTTCTATCTTATTTACTGAGGTTGTGTTTGAATGACCTGCAGCCTTCCATGCAGATGTGTAAAAAATGAGGCTTATGATGCATGTTAGAGACACTGTAAGTGACAAAACAGACAAAGATGAATGCTTCACAGCTGCTTTAGCCTGAGGCAGTATAAGTAGGCTGGGGCCAACATGGAAAGCTCACCATTCTTCACTCCAATGCCACATAATGTTGATCTGGAACTACTCAAGTTATTTTTCTTTCACTTATAGTGTCTTATAAAAAAGTATTCACACCCGCTCAACAAACATTATAACCACCAACTGTTGTTTTGTTATGGGGAGCTCTTGTAATTGAAGTAACAGATAAATAATAAATATTTATATTTTCTAAAGTTTTTTACACAGAAAATAACTGAACAGTGTGGCAACCATTTGTGTCTAGTCCCC